ATTCGTCCTGAATGGGCGCATGGCCATGCGTGCGCCTCGTGGATCCACGCCCTGTGCGGGACTGGCCGAGCAGGGTCAGAAGTGGGACCTCGCGTCTGATCGCCATCTCCCTCGCGCCACACATGACCAATGATAGCTCCAACGGCCGCCGCGAGCAGGCCATGCAGCGCCATCTCCAGGGCATGGATCCCGTTGAAGAAGGTAAAAGCCGACGTATTTCTGGAAGTAGCGATCGTGCCCGTCGCGTCACCACGAGCGGCTGGAGACAGAGAAAGGTTCGCGAGACGGCGGCCCTGTAGGTCGGAGATGAAGGGGTCCCTCGCGTCTCCACGAGCGAGGGTGGATGAGGTCGTAATTGAGAAGTAGTGGTGACGTAGGCGTCGCCGTAGCGGTCGAGGGTGCTCGGCGAGGTGGAAATCGATAGCGTCGCAGTTGCGGTCGAGGTCCCTCGCGCGCGTGGCGTAGACAGAGAGGTGGAGGTAGACGGCGTCGTAGTTGCGGTCGAGGTTCCTCGCGCGCTTGCCGTAGTGCTGGAGGAGAGGAAGGCCTTCTTCTTGTCGGTCGAAAAGCCTCGCGCGTTGGAAGTCCATATGGTCGGGGAAGTGGGCGCAATGGTAGCGCTGGGGTAGGTCGGTGCCCACATGGCGGTCGAACTTGAAATTGCCAGCGTTGCTCTTGTTGCCGAAGTTCCGCGGGTATTCGCCACTGTGCAAATCGTATGCTAGGGAGGTGGTGACCAGAGCTGCCACGGCTGCAGCAGCTCCACTACCAAACTCGATCTAAGTGTTCAAGGGATGACTGTGTCATGTCTGTAGACTGGGAGGGACGTGGGAGATGACGATGGGCAGAACGAAACTACCCGCAGCGCCGTCCACACTGGCAGATCGGGCGGGGCTGCCAAGAGCCACGGCGACAGCGGACCCAACTGAACTTATGTCCCCCATTTTGGACATACCCTTAAAATGGCTGGGCGTTTCGACTGAAACTTCCTCACTATGCATGATCCCAGAACTTGAAATTTGAAACAATCTCACGGATGGAAGGCGTGTATTACTTGACTCCCGCCCTGGCGCCGCGCGCATTCGTTGTAAACATCTGCAACAATTTTACGGATGCAGGGCGGGTGGCTTTCAAAATGCGGTGCTCGCCTGAGCTCCCTGCACGTTAGTCTTAACGGTATGCAACATCTTCAAAACGGAGGGCGGGCGGTTTTCAAACTGGTGCTCCGCTTTACGCCGCGCGCACTCGTACTCACAATCTGCCAGAGTTGCATGGATGATGAAAGGCGATTCTTGATCAACGTGAATATCGCTTTAACGCTTCGCACATCCGTTTTGCAAGTTCTCAACCGCTTCAAGTGTTCACATGGTCGGAGTCCTACGAATGGTGCTCTGGCCACAATAAAAGCTGTCAGGCCGCAGCGATCACGTTGATTCGCGGTCCCAGGATTGCATGATTCAGGGCTGTCAAGACGCAACAATCACCTTCATTCGCGACAGTGAAATCCCGAATTTGTTTGTTGGTACGGTGGCGGATTCTCAAACGATTGTTTTCCAATGCGGCATGCCCCGCAATGCAAAATCCTAAAGGGCCCTACGAAGAGGGAACCTGGAGGGAAAATGTACTGCAGCATCCTTGATGCGTCTTGGATTTATTATGGTATTCCTCCTCCTCCTCTTCCTCCTTCTCCTACCTCCCTCCCTCCGTCCGTCTTCCTCCTCCTCCTCCTCTTCTTCTCCTTCCCCCCCTTCCACGGGGCAGTTGACCTCATCTTGGGTGCATACCCGTCGACCGCGCACGAGCTGGCCCTCTTGGCCGAATGGCAAACTGTCTTGCGTGCTTCTCGGCCGCACGCGTGCCCTGTGTTGCGAGGCGCCGCAAGTGTGCCGCGGCGATTCGTCTCTGATTGTCATTGCCTCCCACGGACCTCCCCCTCCTGCCCCCCCCCTCCCCCTCCTCCATTTCCCCCTATCCCCCCTCCCCCCTCCCCTGCTACAGCCTTTGCATTCACGCTCCTTCCCCCTTGCCACCTACCACCCCTCCTCTCTTCCCCACCTGCCTCAACATCCCTCTCCCTCTTCTCTTACTCCTGGGCCGGAGAAGGCACCGTGCGACACCCGGCGTGCAGGTGTGCAGCGCCTCCGACGCCGATCGGCGCCAGCACGCTACGGACTTCGGGCACCCAGCACGTCGTCGACCAGGATCGGCGGCGGGCACCCCTGGACCGCCTGGAGCAGAACGCCATGCGTGAGCGCGGACTCGTGCCTGATCTGGAGGGGCGTTCTCCGCCGCCGAACGCCACCATCGAAACCAAGCGCGAGGGGGCCGCTCCTGCATGGCAAGGCGCATCTAAACAGCAGCTCGACTTCCCCAAGGCTTCTGCCCGCGCGAGCGAGCTGGGCAACACTGACGATGGTCCATGACCCCGCCCTCTCAAATGTCCATGGAAACGTCGTCTGGGATCGAGGGTCAGTAGATCCAGAAGGGCGGAATCGGCACACGCTCTCTTGAAGTACGTCCTCGAGGGGCGCATCACTGAAGGGGCCCTGAGACACACAAATAAATACACACAAATAACAGGATTCCCCATATGTTCCCATAGTTTCTGGGATCTTGTCTTCCCCCCACTTCCCATATTTTCCGCTATTTTCTTGGGAATCGACGATTGATTGTGTCTGTGTGTCTCTTTCCCTCCTGAGAAATACGTCCTCGAGGGGCGCATCACCAGTGCAGCTCGGCTTGGCGGCTGCGACGGTGCGCCGGCCCGAGCAGCCGAGGCCGCGGGCACTCTCCGCTACAGGAGCTATACCGCACCCTCGCGACTAGATGATGATTCTGGGGAGGCGTACGGCTGCCGACGTCGCCTGCTGGGTTTGAAGGGGTCCTGGGACACACAATTTGAATAGTAGACACAAATAACCAGATTCCCCTATACTTTCAATATTTTCTGGGTTTTTTGTCTTCCCCCCCACTTCCCATATTTTCCCATATCTTCTGGGGAATCGACGATTCATTGTGCCTGTGTGTTTTTTCCCCTCCGGAAGGTTGCCAGGGCCATGGACATCGGCGAGGCGTTGGCGCGCGCACCCGCCGGCTGGGAGCCGCCGCCACCCGAGCGAGCGCGGCCTTCGCCCTGCCCGACGTGCGGTGCAGCGCGGGGGGGCTGCGCCACCGCGGTCCGACGCCCTCTCCCTGCCGTGCGCCCGCGACGTGCGCCCGTGTGCGGCCGCCACGGCACGGCTGGGGCTGCCCTGCGCCGCGTGCGCTCGAGCGGCGGCGGGCGCGGCAAAATGCCTGAGCGGGCGAGCTTTTTTCTTTTTGCTTTTTGTTTTTGTTTTTTGTTTTTTCCTCACGACGATCGAGGGCTGACCACATAGAGTCAGCTCCTGAGCGGGCGAGCTGCTCCCCACCACGACCCGGGCGTGTAGCTCGGGTGCTGGCGTCTCCTGCTCGAGCTGGCGCGTCTGCTCGGTGTACAGGTCCACGCGTGGAGTAAGGATGCACGACAAGGGTGCGAGGGCCTTGCGAGGTCATGCTGGAACTTTTCGAGCGGGGCGCGGCCAGCGAAAGTGGCCAAGGATGGACCGAAGGGGAAGGATGCAAGAGTAACTTCGGAAATGCGCTCACCCTTACTATCCGCGCTGGCTGTAGGGAGCGCGCTCACGCCCAGTGCGCAACCGGAGCGGCACCCAACTGGCCGTGAGCGGATCCGCCGCACGGCGGCTTCTTTTTCCCGCCGCGGCGGCAACAGCGCTCCGCCACGGCCGCGCGGGCACGGAGCCAGGCCAAGACCGACCGCTGCTTGCGGTGCAACGGGCGAACCGCGCGGCTCGCCTGGGCTTTCCCGCGGCCCGCCGGCGCCGCACCTGCAGCAAGAGCCCGTCGCCCACGCCCTTCCGACGAACACCTGGTGGCCGTCCGCTGCTGTGGGCTCGCTCGCCGCTCCTCCTCGCCTGCAGTTGGTCCACGCTTTCTGCGCCTGCAGCCTCTGCCTCGGCCGTTGGGTGTGGCCGTGATGCGGCTGTGGATCGCCTGCACGCAGGAGTGACCGTAGGCAGGAGTGACCTTTCGTGCGCGGATCACGGGGGCGCAAGGTGGCCAAATCCAAGCGCGCAAGCAGCCACTGTTGCATCGCGCGCAGCGTTCGGGGGGACCCCGGTGAGCCCGCACCAACGGTCACTCCGGCGAAGGGTCACTCTTACGCCTGGTCGAGTGGATGGCGACAGACAGGCAGTTTCTTCGAGGCGGCAACATCGAGGACAACATGCCACGTTTGGGCTCTCAATTCAAGCCCCGCTCCAACGCGGTACCGTGCACGCATCTTTCGGCTCCGGGAGGCTGACAAAACTATGTACCGTATCACTCCTTATGTGCAGTCGGACTTGGTTGGACAGGACACGCGAGAGGACACAAGACCCTTCCGAGGGCCACATTGCCACAGGAATGTAGGAAGCATGGGTCGCGAGACACAGGACACAAGAGTACCCTTGATGTGGCAGGGTCGACCTGCTAATCCGGGCCGACTGTACCGTATCGCTCCTGGGTCGAGGACCGACCGAGTACGCCTCAGAGAGAGGCCGCCGACGCGGCACGCTGCACGCGAGTGGCCCGCGGAGCTAGACGATGCTGCGGGTGACCGTGTTTTCTAAGGAAGCTGCGGCAAGCACGGCGCCTCTCGGCGCATCCAGGACACCGCCGTCGGCAGCCAGGCGGCCTTAGCTTTGGTTTCGTGCCAGGCGCCCTGGCGTGCTTTCTCTCGACGGCGCTGTGAAGTGGCGTCGCCGAGCTTGAGCATTTATCAACACGATGTGCCTTCGGCAGGTCCTTAGCACGCGTGTAGGGCAGCTGCCTTGAAGGTGAATCCACCCCCAGAAAAGACTCTCCTCCTTCGGCTTCCCTCCCACTCCTCCTCCTCCTCCTCCTCCTCCTTCTCCTCCTCCTCCTCCTCCTCCTCCTCGTCGCCCTCCTCTTCAACTCTCATCCTCCTTCTCCCTCCTGTCCTCGTCGAGGAGCTCGTCGTGGAATATGAAATCAGAGAAGTCGAGAAGGCCGATGAGGTCGACCCCGACGTCACCAAATAACCTTGCGCCACACCCGCCCTCGCCCGTTTTGAGCGCACGTCTGAAGGAAGACGAGGAAGGGAGAGGAGGGGGATCGGGGGGGAGAGGAAGGGGGCGGGGAGGGAGAGGGAGAGGGGCAGGGAAGGGGAGAGGGAGGCTGAGGCGATGGGAAAAGGACAGGGGAAGGGCGGTGGTGTCTGATCGCTCGAACCAGCTCGCGCCCTATTCAGACAAACAGGCTGACAAAAGGAATTCCTCGTCCGGCCTCTTCATCCTCATCTTGTTCGCCATCCTGCTGCTGCATATCTTCCTCTTCTGACTTCCTCTCGTCGTCGTCCTCCTCCACCTCTTCATCCTCATCCTGTTCGCCATCAGGTTGCTGCTTATATTTCACCTCTGACTTCCCCTCGTCGTCGTCGCCTTCCTCCTCCGCATCCTCATTTACTCTTCCCCTCGTCATCATCATCATCATCATCATCATCATCATCATCATCATCATCATCAGCAGCAGCAGCAGCAGCAGCAGCAGCAGAAGCAGCAGCATCGTCATCGTCATCGTCATCTCCATCGTCATCGTCAGCATCATCATCATCACCATCATCATCGTCGTCATCATCAACATCATCATCATCATCGTCATCATCACCACCACCACCATCACCATCACCACCATCACCACCACCGTCGCCACCGCGCCCAGCATCCTCACCATCACCAAAGTACCCTCCCGTCTCCTCCTCCTTCGCCTCCTTTTTCTCCCCCATCTCCCGCTCCTCCTCTCCCGCTTGCTATGCTACACCCCCTCCCCCGCCACCTCCTCGTCCTTGTCCTCGTGCTCGTCATCGTCCACCACCTCCTCCTCCTCCTCCTAGTCCTCCTCCTCCTCCTCCTCCTCCTCCTCCTCCTCCTCCTCCTCCTCCTCCTCCCTCCTCCTCCTCCTCCCCTCTCCTGAGGCATCCGGGTCGCCCCTCCGTGCTGCGGGGCTCCTGCTCCTTGGCCGCTCGGGCCTCCGTTCGCCGCGGCGACGCCGGCCCCGCGCCGCTGGCGCACGCGCTGGCCGGACGCCCGCGGGGCGGCCCCGCCGTCGAGGACGGGGCCATCGGACGCGGATGGGTCCGTGCCAGAGCGTTCCGGAACGCTCGGGGAGTGTTCCGCAACGCTCTGAGGAGGCCGCGGCGCCCCCCACACCTCTTCCAGAACCCCGCCGCGTCTCAGGTATACCCTCGATCTCTCCTCGCCCGACCTCGGCCTCGTCCCGGCTTCGCCGGCCTGTGGGCCCCTCGCGCGCCAGCGGCGCGGCCGCGTGCCGCACGCCGCGCGGCGCCGAGGGAGCCCCCCGCCGCGCCGCAGGCCGCCGGAGGAGCTGCAGCTTTCCAGCCGGGCCGCGCAGCGCTGGCGGCAGCAGCCTCCCCGCCGCTCGGAGGGGAGGCGGCCGGGCCGCGCGGCGCTCTGGAGGGCGGGAGGGCCCGTGCCTCGGCGGAGCGCCGCCGGCGTGCGAGGCTCAGCTGCCCGGGCACGCAAGCACGCAGCACGCAGCACGCAGCGTACGGTCAGCCCGTAGGGGAAGGATGCGCGGTAAGGATGCAGGGGCCTCGGACGCCCATGCCGAGGCTCGTCGAGCGGGGCTGGCCCTCGAGAGTGGTTGAGGATGGGCCGAAGATGACCGAAGAGGCAAGGATGCAAGGGTACCCTTGAGAAGGTTGCCCATCCTTGCTGTGCGGGTTGTCTGTGCTGCTGCGACGCGGAGGCCAACGCGCGGATCGAAGCCGCGGCTCTGGCGCGACACGTTCGCCGGAACGTGGCCCAGCACGTGCGGAGCCCACGCGCGGCGCGCCAACACGGACGCTCGGAGCACGGTGCGTGTTGCGTCTCGACACGGGCGCACCGTGGCAGCCAAGGCGAGGCAGTTCCCCGGCCCCCGTCCTGGGAGCGCCCCCCCCTGGGGAAGAGAGCCTTCCTCGCCTCCGAGCGGGCGCCTGCTCTCCGAAATTTGGCCTGGAGCCCCTCCTGGGAAGGAGTTGCCCTTTCCTCGGGAGCGGCTGTCCCGGTGCACAAGAGCCTGGAGCTCTGGAGAATTTAGCCTGGAGCTCCTCCTCGAGAATTTAGCCTGGAGCTCCTCCTGGAGAATTTAGCCGGGAGCTCCTGGAGATCTTAGCCTGGAGCTCCTCCCACTCCTCAGGAAGGGCAGTCCGCTCCTCGGAGAGAGTCTCTCGGAGAGCCGCTCCCGGAACCTCTTCTCAGGGGGGGACTTCCCCCTTTCCCCAGCAGGGAGAACTGCCCAGTGCTTCTTTGACACCCCTGCTGGGCTTCCTCCTCACACACGGCTCCGCCCACCTCTCGGCGGCGAGCGAGGGGGGGAAATGAGAAGGAGGAGGCCTTCTCAGAAGGCGGCGGGACTTCTCAGAAGCCCTCGCGCCTTCTGAGAAGTTTGTATATACATAATGTTTTCGGTGAAGGCTTAGAAAACTTCTCAGAAGGCCCCGGGACTTCCGAGCCTTCTGAGAAGGCCCGCCCCTTCTCACTTCCCCCCCTTGCTCGCCGCCGATCCTCCTCAAGAATGCTTTCTCCGTGCAGCCCCTCCTGAACCCCTCCTCGGACGCAATCCGCGGGTCGTGCACGCGGGCGGCGGGCGGGAGGGGCGGCGGGCGGGGTTTGGAGATGCCTCTCCTCTTGCCACCGCTCGGACGCCCATTCCACGTGCCCGTTTCGATGTCGTGCGTTTTTGTTGCTGTCGCAGGATGATCGAAGATCCTCCTCGAGGGTCCTGGCCGAGAAGAAAAAAAACACACGTCCGAGAGATGCCACTCCGTGGGCTGCCGCCCGGCAGCGGGACTCGGCCAGCGCAGTGCGGCACTGGGGGGCCACTCCACGGCGCGGGCGCGCGAGCGGGAGGGCGAGACGCCTCCCTTGAGGAAGGGAAGATAGGGGGCCACGTGCGAACCCTACCCCTACCCCCCACGATTTCTGAGAGGGAGGGTGGGGTTCACTTCGCTCGGGAGCTCCTGGTCGAAGTGAACCCCACCCTCCCCCTCAGAAATCGTGGGGGGTAGGGGTAGGGTTCGCACGTGGCCCCCTAGAAGATCCCTGACGCCACTCCTGAGGCCATGACTGCTACAGTCGGACCCGGGCTACCGAACCGCCCCGATCCAACCCGAAGACCCGAATTTCAGCCTGGGGGGGCACGGGTTCCATCTGCGTGTTCTTTGATGTTCCCCGACCCCCCCCCACTGGGAATGGAGGGCAAATTGGGGCGTTCGGGTTGGATTGGGGTGGTTTGGTGGGCGGGCGAATGACAAAGAGCATCCTTCAAGAACATGAGACCCTCCGCTTGCCCAAACTGGAAAAATCGAGGATGCCCTCCCCCAGGATACGTACACAAATACATCCAACAAGCACGAAGAACATGAAGGTACCCTCCCCGAATCGACCTCGATCTTATACCTCGGACCGACCGTACGGGAAACTGCCTCCTGATGAAGGGACCCCCCCTCCTGAGGGCGGGGGGGTCCATGATGTTGTCCCAGCGATCCCCTCCTGAAGAGCACATTCCTGGGGAAGTGCTCCAGGAGGGGCATGGGAACACCAAACTGTGTTCTTTCTGGGGGGCGCACTGCCTGCGGAGGGGGAACGCCCTGCCGATATGGGGCTCCATGGAGGGCTCTCTGGGGAAGCCTCTTCCTACGGAAAGGGAAATTACTCCTGAGGACGGGGTGCAGCTTTGGGCTTACGGGCCCATCCTGAGGAGGGGAACGCAGTCCTGAGGAGTTGCTGTTTCACGAAGGGCTCGAATCGCCGCACCAAACTGCGCGGCTGAGCTGGAGATAGTGCGGAGCCTCTTGATGGGGATGGCGGTGGACACTAAGGGCGCCATCGACGGGTGCCATATGACAACTGGGCGGAGAGAGCGCGGGTGCTGGCTAACGCCCTTCTGCCGCGCGTCGTCAGGCCTCCCTCCCGCAATTGCCCACCACGGGCGGCGCAAGCGGCGGCGTTGCACATCACGCGTGGGCTTAGCATCATCGGGGCAAATGACCATGGCGGCCTCTGCTAGCGCAGACATGTCCAGGGTGGCAGCGACGTTGCCACCCCCTTGAGGCGGCAAGCGGAAGCCCCTGGCCACCCGTCTCGGGTCGCCGCCGGGGATCCTGGTCTCCCTGTTTGCCGCTGGTTCGGCAAGTTTTAAGCCGACACCTAGACTGCCATCGGCCACATCTCGGCTCTCCTCACACACATTCCTCGTACACATTTCGGCCTGAGCAATCGGCCGCTCCATCTTTGCACCTGGGTATGCCGCCGTCGGCACGCTGCGTTGGCGCGGAGGGGCATCCCAACGGCGGCTTGATGTATGTAGAATGTGGTCGCCGCGCCTCCAGCCTTCGCCGAGCGGCCGCTCCTTCCTTCTCATCTTCCAACCACCCGTCTCCTCCACCTCCTTGCAATCCTTGTCCAGCCCCATACTTTATTGTTCTTCTCCTCCTCCTCCTCCTCCTCCTCCTCAATGCGGTCGCCGTTTCCGTTCGCCGTTCTCCTACATCACCCTCCCCCGCGCCTACTGTGCCTTCCTCTCTTCCTCCTCCTTCCCCTTCGGGCACAGCCTGCAGCGGTTCACAGCAAAACTCCTTCATCGCTCTCATTCCCTCCCCATCCCCTTCTGCTCCTCCACCTTCGGCCACAATTGCATGTCCTCCTCCTCCTCCTCCTCCTCCTCCTCCTCCTCCTCTTCTCCTCCTCCTCCTCTCTCACCCTCCTCCTCCTCCCTCCTCCTCCTCCCTCCTCCTCTCCTCCTCCTCCTCCTCCTCCTCCTCCTCCTCCTCCTCCTCCTCACGAGGGCCCGGCGCCCCCGCCGCCCCCCCGCAGGCGAATGAACTGCGCGATGCTGTGCTCGTCGTTGCTGCAGTCGAATATCCGCATGAAATTCTCTTTCGTCACCATTCCGTCCTCGCAGCGCGCTGGCCCCGCCGCTCCACCAGGCGGGAGCGCGGGGGAGGAGGGGGGGGGGGAGGCTGACCGCCGAGGGAACAGGAGGACAGGAGGGGGAGGGAGGAGAGAGGAGGAAGAGGAGGGAGGGTAAGGAGGAGGAGGGGGAGGAGGGGGAGGAGGAGGAGGAGGAGGAGGAGGAGGAGGAGGAGGAGGAGGAGGAGGAGGAGGAGGACGAGGAGGACGAGGAGGAGGAGGAAGAGGAGGAGGAGGAGGAGGAGGAGGAGGAGGAGGAGGAGGAGGAGGAGGGGGAGGGGGAGGGGGAGGACGGGAGGACAATGCAAAGGGAAGAGGGGGAGGGGCGGGGAAAAGGGGAATTGTTGGCCCTGCCACTCCTGGGGCCATGGGGCAGAATACAGTAAATGCGAGGCGTGCTCTGGCCAGGTCCAAGGACAACCCGTTGGCCTGCCCAGTCCTGGAGCGTATTAGGATTTGTAGGTATATCCATTCGATGGACGGCCCAGGAGTCCCCAATCATGCCATGAACATACATTGCCTCAACGGTTGATCCTCATCCTCCTTCGCCGCATCCCTCTCCTCTGTATGCCCGCCCCCAGGTTCGTGGAGTGGTGAGATCGCCGCGGTCCGTGCAGCCCATCCTCACCACAGCGACGTTGAGTTTCTCCTCGACCTGCACACAGCACGAGACGAACACCCCGTGCCCCCGGCAGGGCGGCCACTGTTTTCATTCTCGCTCTGTCTGCCTGGCTGCCTGTCTCTGTCTCTGTCTCCGTCTGTCTGTCTGTCTGTATGTCTGTCTGTATGTCTATATGTCGGTCTGTCAGTCTGTCTGCCTGCCTGTCTGTCTGTCTGTCTGTCTGTCTGTCTGTCTGTCTCTCTCTCAATATGTCTGTCTCTCTGTCCGTCCGTTTCTCTATCTATCATTAGCGGTCCCTCTATGCTGATCACCTTTTGTATATACATACACATACACTCGCACGCGGGTTTACATCCATCCAACAATACATGTATACATGCAAGCATGCTTACATACCTTCATGCACACATGCATGCACAACTATATGCATATACACATACGATCATCCATAATTACCTGCCTAACGCCCTACCTATCGGCACACACATACATGCATACATACATACATACATAAACACATACATACATACATACATACATACATAAATATATACACCCATACACACACCTACATACCTACATGCATGCATGCATACATATATACATACATTCACACACGCGTACACCAATACCCACAAGCATGCATACATACATGCATACACATACACGGTTATACATCCATGCATACATACGTTCATACGTACATACACGCATACATACATACATACATCCACACATACAACCATGCATACAAACACACATGCACGCACACACATACATACACACCCATACGTACATACGTACACAATGTAGACATGCATGAACGCATGGGACTCGGACGTACATACATGCATGCACGCAGACATACATACATCTATGACTGCGCACATACACGCACACATTCACACATTCACAGGTACACACATACATACATACATACATACATCCGCGCATTATACATACATGAATACGTACATACATACATACATACATACATACACACATACATACATACATACACGGATGTACGGACACAGCAGCGCAAGCCTACACATATTCACACACCGTTGCATACATACATCCGGGCATCCATCCATCCATACATACATACACAAAAACACACATGCATGCATACGTACACACATGCATGAATGCATACATTCACACACGTACATACGTATGCACAGGCATTCATACATGACTGCATGGGACGCATACATACATACATGCACACAAGTATACATACATGCATGATCACATCCATACATATATGTGTATATATATACTTATATATAAGTACGTGCATACATACATGCATGAGTACATACAGCTATGCATGCACGCATACCTACATACTCGCATACATACATACATGCATGTACACTTGCATATATACATGACTGTAAACATACAACCATGTAATCCTACACGCATGCATGCACACATACATGTATCTGGACACACGCAGAACAGCGCACATGCATACATTCGCACACATAATGCATACATACATACGTGAATACATACATGCATACGTACATGCATACATACATACACCCATACACCCATACACATACACATTCATATACATACCTACATACCTATCTATATACATACACACATGCGTGTATATATATATATATATATATATGCACCCATGCCGTTATATGTGAGAGAGCGTGATCCACCGCCGCTTGACTGTGGAAAATTCCCCCCCCTCTTCCTCCGGAACCCCGGGGTCCCCCCCCTTCGAAAATCCCCCCCCCCCCCCCTGCTAGACCCCCCCCCTTCCCCCCGGCAGCCCCCCCCCCCCCCTAACCCCCTCCCCCCCCTCTCCGGAAAACTGGGGGGGGTCATTACCGGTTCAAGGCTCGAACCCCCCCTCCCTGCAGAAAAAACGAGGGGGGGGTCACTACGGGTTCGAACCCCCCCCCCGCTCCCCCTCTCCAAAAAACTGGGCAGTCTCGGCTCGAGAGTGCCCTGCACTCAGACCGCAGCCGCGACGCGAAGCGCCCCGCCTCGGAGTCAGACTCCCAGGCCTCGCGAGACCGGAGGGGTCCCAGCAGGACCCTACTGATTCGCGTCACCTCTCTCCCCACCAGAGCGCCCGCCGCAATGGCCCCCGGTAAGCCGGAGCGCCGTCGCTCTTCCAAGCAGCCGCCGAGCTCACGTCCTGCTGCTGAAGGGTCTCTCCTCCAACGCAAGCAGGACTGCATCGCAGCTTTCAAGCAAGCGGGGTCTGACCGCCCCACGGCCGCATACAACGGGCTTGCCGAGCTGAACGCGGACGAGCTTCAGGCCACGTACGACATGCACAAGACCAACACAAAGAAGCTCGGCAGTGCCTTGATCCGCATGTGTGCCGCCAACCAGATCAGCTACACGCTGGATCACCACCAGCGCAGCAAGCCTAAGCGCATTGGTGGTGACACATCACACCCACCAGCTGCGTCCGCACGTCTTCAGGCTGCGGACGCCCAATTCATTGCCTTGGACCCGGCCTTCTGGAAGGTCCCAGTCCTTGCCGAACCCGCATCACTTGACGACGGCAAGACGTACAAGCCCAGTATCAGCCTCCACGACTACGAGAGCGGTGAACGGCTGCTGCAACACCACCTCGAGCAGGGTAAGCGTACCACGGGTCAGCTTGCGATTGCTGTCATGGGCCCAAAAAACGATAACTACGTCGGTACCGAGCTCGCCGTCCCCGTGCTGAAGCGTCACCCCAAGGCGCCCAAAGTGGTCCACACGCACGTCCCCGTGACCGTGTACCAGCTGGGCACCAAGGAAGTCGCCTGCACGGAAAAAGTAGCCGTCGCCACCATCGATCCTGCCGACCACGTATGCTGGATTCGGGTGACCATACATGAAACCGAGGCCATCGCCGCAGTCCCCTCCATGCATCAGGCCTTCGAGGATCAGTTCTCGGGAGGTGCCCCCGTGAACGGTGGTCCACGCGCCAAGGGTCCTTTCCGAAGGGACTCCGCTCCACAGGACAAGGCGCGCCAAAACCAAAAGCACAGGGAGTCCAAGAAAGACGCTCGCCGCCAGGAGCTCGATAGTCAGCTCCAGGACACCTTCAAGGCCCTCTTCCACGGCAACTTTAAAGCCGTCACCATCCTCGAACCCTGCAAAAGCCTAGGCAGGTATGGATCGGGCGTCGGAAAGAGGTCCCTGGCTGCCACCTTCGGCGTCAGTCTTCAAGCGGTTGACAAGGTCTTGGCGGGTTCAGGGCAACTCGGCGCCACCTACGACCTCAGCAACGTAGGTGCAGACGAGCCCACTGCAGACAAGTACCAGACCGTGTGGTTCCCTGAGGACCAGCCCATCACGATGGCAGATGCGTTCCAGAAGTCGGTGGATTTCAAGGCCCTAGGAGTCGTCAGGCACGGCAAGTCAGGCTTATTGGGGATCCGTGTTGCACGAGGGTCAGACGCCGCCAAGGCTGCTGCCGTCAGCATCCGTGGCTGCGAAGCCACCCTCGCCAAGACGCGATACCGCATCACTGGCATTGCGGCACGCCACGCCACGCTGACCCAGCTCGCTAAGACTCTCACGGGCCCGTCCGTCAAATGGGACTGTGAGGTCTACCACACCGCCTGGGACCCAGCCACTTCGGCTCAGTTTGCCTTAGTGCGCGCCCATCGTCCCCCACCCACATATACGGTACAGGTCGCAGGGTGCCCCATCCCGTGGAGCATCACCGAGGCCCCGCTGGCTGAGGTGGCGCCGAAGAGGGACAACGTTACCATTGTCACCCCTACCACTATCACAGAGCCTGTGACGCCGCCAGCCCGTGGTGGCGGCTTCAGCCCCGCCACTGGCACACTACTCACCAAAGCGGCCCAGAGCCCTTACCTCCACGACCTCATGACTGCCACGCCCAAAGGCAAGGGCGTCGCACCGCTCCTGATCCCCAAGGAGGAGCCTTTAGCCAAGCGCCACCGATCCTCCAGTGGGAAACGCGACGCCACGCCGCACGCAAGATCACACGGCGCCCCAGGCCGCAGCTCCTCTGCACCCCCGCACGGCACGGATGGAGCTGCCGAGCGGACGGCCGTCCAAGGATCAGGTGGTCATGACCCGCAGCTTGGCACGGTGGCATCTGAAGGCGGGGGCCACACGGAAGGGGGCGCTGCCACAGCCGCCGAGGTACCAGGCGACGCTGACGACGTCGAGATCCTCTCATCAGGTGATGAATTCAGCGTGGCATCTCGCGAACTCAACACCTTCGGCGAACGCTTCGCAACGGCCCCTAAACTGCCAGATGCCGCCACGACCCGCATCCAACACATGGAACAACAGCACGAGCTGCTTGCCAACACGGTGGATAACATGCAGGTTCAGCTTGCGGGCGTTCTCTCATCCCAGGCCACACTCACGGAGCACGTTTCAGGTTTGGAACGAGGGCTTGCCACCGTCGTCACCCAGCAACAGACGGCAAACACCGAAGCTGCTGCACTGCGTGGCGACATCCAGGCCCTCCTCGGGCACCTCACGGGGGGCACCATCCACCTGCCACAGGTGGCCACTCTCGAAACAAAAAAGGAGGAAGCTGCATCAGTTGCCGATCCCGTGGCTGTCTGCGGGTGGATTGACCAGCCAGGCCAGGTCACCCCAGGGACGGGGCCCCCAGGGGCTGACAAAGGCAAAGACAAGGGTCGGGTCACTCAGGAACCCTATTGAAGGTGCCTCAGAGAGCCTGCCTCAGCCCTCCGAGGAAGCGCCTTCAGAGGCATCTCTTCTCTCTTCGCGTCGTATCTCTTTCTTGTCATATCATGTCAGTTTTGGCAGCAGCACGTGCAAGCTACCTGGTGTAGGGACACCCGTCATCTTGCAGGGGGAGTGATTGTTGCAATGTACATGAGCATGCAGGGGTATCTGAGGATGCGTGCTGACATGCAGCTTTTGGCTCATCGCTCGCGCCGCCCGCCAGGCCTCGCCATCATGTGGCGCCTTGCCTGCAGCCTGGCCCTCCCCTCGCTCGCTGGAGCACACCCGTCTTCAGGCGGTGCGCCCCAGCATGGAGGTGA